AGATTTTTTCATAAATTTTTTATCATTTTTAAACCTTCTTGTTGCTCACTTTTACTTTGAAACACTCATAGAACGACTACTGATCTGTGCGTCGAAGTAAATTTATAATGGAAATTGATTTGACAATGGCTGATTTTGTTGATGGCAGCTCTTATAATTTAATTCGCCATCCTTCTATACAACAATTTTAATCATAACGGCTGCCAGCAACAAAGCTACTTTTACGCACTTGGACTAAGTTGCTCTTACATGCTTGACCCGACTTCAAACAGCACTCATCGATGTATTCCCCCTAGTTCTTCAACAGTGTGGTGTTCTCATGAGCCTCCCCATAAATAAATTAAAAGGCGAGGGGAATCTTCACAAATCATTGTTTTCGCACATTTCTGTTAACAGAAATCAAAGCTGCACACGGATTCAAAATGCGGATTTGTATTGTTTAGAAATTTGGCCGTTCCGTGTGTACTGAGATCAGAGTTCAGTGTCTTTGCTGCAACGATTGTGTTAGTGACCTGAATTGAATTTAGAAACTAAATTTTTAAAACTTCAAATTTCGAGATGATGCGTTATCAAGTTGAAATCAAATGACAAACACACAAGTGCTCAAGCAAACACGTAGCGCGCGTTTGTGTTTTTGTAAGTGTCCATGAGATCCATAAATGGCAGGATTTGCATACCTGCACGGATACTTTCAATTTTGAATAACAAAAACTAGAAAGCTAAAATTTTGAGAAAACAGCCAAACATGCATTGGATTAAAACCCTAAAATCAATTAGCAGTCTTCCTATGCTCTGATACCTGGCCTCAACTCTAAATCTTAATTTAAACAGGCTTCCACAGTTTCGAAGTAGAGCAATTCAAATTTTTCATGGAAAAGATTGCTTAAAAAAGTCGCTCTTTTTTCGCATACGTAGCTGAGAGCACTTTCTGTGCAAATGCAATTGCGTGAGTTCTCCGCGCATTACTTTTCCTTCTATGTTAATACAGATGTAACACCAACATAAAACGTCTTTTCGAATTGTTCAACAGATTACAATGCAATAAATACAAGCTAATTTTAAGAACAGCAGTCAGTGAAAGAAATTAATCGACGTAATTCCAACCGCGGCCGGTATTTGATTGCGGATAGCTTCTTAGCAAATACGCAGCCCAATCCTGGGGCAATGTTAGGCCACCAGCTCCGCGCTTCCCGAACCGAAGCGGCCCTTTTGGCCGAGCTTTCTTCCCTGCAAATTGACTTTTACTTTTGTTCTTTTCTACATAAGTTAAAAAAATGCAAGATCAGCCAGCGGTCCCACGTAATTAAGCGTTTTTTGGCACAATCAATTACAAAACTAGATGCGCCAATCTTTATGTGACCAAGCATGAGATAGAGAACTTAAAGAGTGGTTTTAGGCACACCTATCCACATACGCTTGTGAGCTATGTTCACATCAATCTTAACCGAGATATATCGTTTGCCCAGTTGCAAAACCGTCGGCGTCAAATTCCATGTATTTGCGCATGAGACGTAGAAATTACGTGAAAGTGATTTCATGCTACATGGACTATGCTTGCAAAATTTCAGCTCTCCGTCTTTTTGGTTACAAAATTTCAAAACAACATTCCAAATGTGAGATGTAGAAGAATGTAAAACTGATTTACTTGTGCTTTCTTCACGCATCCTATAGTACCAAGCTCGCAAAACTCCAGCATTTTAGTTATTTTGATTGCAGGGTTACAAATTTTTCGACCTCGGCTTCCACATATTCTTCTTGTGCAGGCATGGGCAATCTTTGGTGATATGCGGGCTTGATTTACGCACTTACTTAAGCTCGCGGACTGCCTTTTAATAAAGCCCAGCTAGCTACGCATCAGGATTGGCCATGCGATCATGCGCTTTTGCGCTAAAATTAACACAGGCAGATCGTTAAACAGTATGGTTGTTGTTGCTTTTCAGTTTAACACATGCAGCTCATGTGTCTGTGTTTTAGTCTCTTGTTGCATGCAGGGAAAAAGGTATCGGCTGGGACTGTAGTATTGGCTGCATCATTGCTGCCCCCCTTGCTGAGTTGAAAGTAGGTTATAAAAGTCCGGTATAGGTCGCTAATAGCAGGAATGACCCTTGTGCTACAGCCTAACACTTGGGCTTGTATGACCGAGTTTTGGCTCCTTCCAGCATGCAGGAGAAGGGCGTTGGTAGGGATGAAAGTGGCGCATTATAGAGCCTCATGGACCTCCAAGTACATGACTACCATTTTTTGCATGAAGCCTGGCGGCTTCGGTAAATGCTGGC